ATACCGTGTGTAGTAAAAGCAAGAAGCAAAAGAAGTTTTGCTGTTTCTTGAGACAAATTTAGATTCAAAATATAAAAAGCAACACCAAGAATGCAAATCCTTCAATTTATTCATGAAAATATTTAATAAAAAACTGTTACAATTTTCTTATGGCTTTAAAACATATTTTAAATGTACATATTCACATCTATTAAAATAAAGGAGGATGTAGAGCAAGGACAAGACTAAATATTACGCTCTTTAAAGTAGTGAATTGAAAAGTATATCAAAAAAGGAAACAAAAAATGCTAATCGGTTATTGCTCCTGGCTATCTGAGCTCAATTGAGAACAAAACATAACTACAACAACTAAAACAGCGGGAGTGAAATCCTACCAGAGAATCAAGACACAAAAAGATTAAATTAAGATCCAGCACCCATTACTTCAGCTTACCTCACGCTGGACATGTTTATATATTTTGTCCTCGATTGAGCACTGAAGATCTATGAACGAAAGCCGGTTAGCTTTGTTTCCTTTTTATATTATATTTCATATATTATACACACAAACACACACGCAAAATCACACCCACCCACACGCATATATATATATATATATATATATATATATATATATATTTTTAATGGATACTTGTAATTTAAACAGTTTGCCTACATGTCTGTGCAATCGAAAAAACTTAATGGCAAATTTGATTTAATACTTTCTCTCGAGCACGCAGGCCGGTAGACGCAATATACACTTTTTAAAACAACAAATATTTAAATAGACGGGACGTCTATTTAAAAGGCAGGCATCCTTTAAAAATAACGTTTAAACTAATAAAAACATCGGATTGAAAATAAATACATTAATTCTTTAGAAATTGTTTTATTTTTCTGACAAAGCTAAATTTATACTAAGAATAAAGACATAAATATGTGTATTACTTAAAAAGTAATGCATGATTAGCAATGAAACTTTTACTGAATAAAGATTAGGGTGTAATGCATAAATATTACACAAAGTTACAAAAATTTACATAATTTACATAATATTTATTAATAGAAATTTTATAAGTATAAGAAACTATACTCGCTCGGAAAACCTTCAGTGCGTTGATTTGCAAATAAACAAGCCAATACCAAAGTGGGGAAAAAAGGACATGTACGTTAACCGAAAATAAGCATCCAGCATACGAGTTCAATGCCCAAAGAAAAAAACCGATGCGAGTACCCAAAATAACTAAATAAAGTGCTCAATACAATGAGTAGAGCAAACCTAGTTAAACCTAGAGAGCCAGACAAACCTACCAAGGTTTAACCTAAGCGGATCGTCAGGGAAAAGCCGGCCTACCCTGACGATCCGCTTAGTTGTCACACTGATGCCTGGGTCCCCCATGGCTCTATACTCAGACCTACGTTGTTTCTTATTGTTGTGGTCTTGTTAGGGCCAGAAATAAAGACACAAAGAGAGGAATTGAATTAAACAAATATATTAACAGAAACAGTAATACAAACATATACAAACGAGAGTGTTACAGCAAGAATGTCCGATCCGACTGTCAGAGCTGACTACTGGAAACTTCCCTCTCCAAAAGGCAGTACCTGCTCCTATTTATAGATAAGAGAGTCCATGCGTGCGTGGGTAAATTACCATAACACTTAATAAACGACTTTCCCGATGTCATCAGTTCTCAACTAAATATTTATGCTGTTGACTCAATTCCTGTTTTAATAGTTATTCCGATGGGTTCGACAAAGTAAGATAGGTAGCTACTGTCGAAAAATGACCTCCAATCAGTTGTTAACTAGGGCAGGTAATGGCTTGTAAATTTGAACGCCTCCAAACGAAACTATCCTTCGATCATTATAGAGATCCATTTTTGCCCTCTATCATCATGGCTGATGATAACCTCCAGGAGAACCTTGTTTGTATCACTATTTCTACTCACATGAACGGAGCGATTATATTGAATCAATTCAAAGGTCTGTTAATACAATCTTCAAAAATTTGAATGCAATATTTACAGAACGTTACCCCACCCATCTTCTGCTGTTTTCGAAGTTGTATTGTTCCATGAATTATCAAACTAAAGTTTACTACTAAATTGGTAATTAGGTCTGCCCTTTTACTGTTGAACTGTAACTATGCTAATTTTCCCGCGCTTCTTGCTTCCCTGCCGCCTAACACCTTCAAAAATTTAAATGCAACGTCAATCGCCATCTTCTGTTTTCCTTGAACTCTGTTCTTTTATGGTCCTTTCTTCTCATCAATATTTTGGCATTCTCTTTCACTCCTAATAATCTCTTTCGTCTTAGTGACATTATCGCTTTGCTTGGGGTGAAATCATTAAAAAAAAATGAATGGCCGAATCCTATACCATAAAATGGCCAGCAAACCGTTCTTTTAACCATATTAAACAGAAAACAAGACTTAATTCTAGTTCGTGACTCAAATAGGCTACAACCAAACAGCCCTTGGGGTCTTTTTCAAAAAAGCCAAAAATATAAATTAAATACGGCTAATGAGAACTTATCTTTTCATTTCAGTTCTTTTGCTTAAACATTTGTATAAAATCAGGAATATGTAATGAGTAAACAAAGAAACCTATTCACATGGAAAGCGTACGTGCAAACACTCAACACGTGAATAAGGGTTGATTGTTTTGACGAATGCTTTAAATCGACACTAAAGAGATATTTCGCTAATGTCAACTCCAGCATTCGCATGTCGAACTTCCAACTGCCCATTACATTAAACGAAAATGTCTGTAATTCTCTCGACAAATCTTGGGAAATATATCTCCACTCTTTTTATCAGTTGACCCTACATAGAATATTAAATACAAATATTCCCTTTATGCTTTAATTTCAGATTACGAATTAAAATTCAGAACAAAATAGAGCGGTTAAAGCGGTTAACATATTAATGTTACTAACCATTATCAGTAAGTTAAGATGTCAATGAAAATTCACCTGACCAATGTTTCCATATAAACTCTCGTCCTGAGTAAGACGATAAACAACATCCGCGTCCAGGTTAAGACGTTAAACAACATTCAACAGCAACGCCTCCGATCAGGAGGTTTTGAGGATCATGGAACCACCTCTTAATTGCTGGTGTTCCCAGGTCCGCTCTGACCTGGAGTAGTAGTACCTGTTAGGGTCCCAATTATAGGCAGATAATTAACCCCTAAATTGAGGTCAAAACACGATGAAAGTATAAAAATAGGTTTTCAGAATTTTTTTTTTTTTTGGTGAGGGGAATAATAACGATTTAGGGACACAAGTTTTACTAATTAAATAAAATAATGAAATGTTATCTTTTACTTTAAAAAAACATCCCATTTTAAGGTGTTTTTTAAAGAAATACATTGTGGCTTTCAAAAGATTATGCCTATAGTGTATATAGGTGAAACCGACGCCTTAATTTCATATATTGCGACGATTATAGTTAAAGTTTGTATTTTCATGCTTTCAGATGAAAATATAGAAAATTTCCAATATCTTTCAATGAAATTTTCTCTTTTCAAAATTGTAGTTTGGTTGATACCCAGCTAAATTAATACGGCCAAACGAAAATTCTATTTTATAATCATAGTTTAGATATATAAAAAGAAGAAAACGTTATTTTAAATTCACACCAGGAGTCTATGGCTTAAACTGAAACCTGCTTTTTTTATCTTATATCATTTTGCTTTAAGTTCGTATTTTCTTGATTTCAAATGAAACATGATATTTTTCCAACTTGTTTCAGTGAAATGTTCACTGTCCCCAATTAGAGTTTATAATTATAGTTTAGGTATATGGGGAAAAGACTCCACGTTAAACTTACGTTAGGAGCATGTGGAGTAATTGATTTTTTTTAGTCAGGTCAGTATTCCTTAATTTACTGACAATGAGATATATTTTTGTTGCAAATGACTGTACGTGTTAGTTTTCTCCTTTCAATCTTCTTCTTTTCTTACAGGTCCTCCTTTTGTATTTAGATTACGTACAAGGGACTTGCCATATCACTTCCTGTAAGTTTCTTTTTTAAACCGTAGTTTAAGAATAAACAGCTTGATATCATTTTTTCCCATTAACAGAATGGTTTCAAATGACGAAAAAAAGGGAGAATTTATTCGTTTTCTTTGTTGTGGCCACGCACAATTTAAGAAGCAATTTTCAATCTAGATATATATTATTATTATTATTATGCATTTTTATTATCACAAATTATTTGAGCTGGCATATAAAACGCAATAGCTTAAATCTATTAAATTTGTGACGGATCACTTATCTTGATTCAGGTTTCTGGTTGTCCACACTTGCAAGATTAAAAATAATGACTGAGGCAGACGCTTATTTTGAATAAGTATGACGTCAATAGGAAAAGAAAACTAGGTGCGCTGTTCTATTCTGTCTGTCTGATGCGGCATTCACCCTGGAGCGGATTGAGCCGGCTTCTTCCTGTTATGAGAAGGAGATTCTTGGGATAAATTACAGAAGTAGGGTACCCAGGCCTACTCGAATAACGTTCTTGCTTGCCGCGGGATTCCCACAGACGCAGAGACAGGAAGGACCAGAAGCCGCCGGTTACCGATGCAGACGCTCCTTGGATTTTCACCAGAGCCCTTGTTAGCCGGCGTGTGTGTCAGACCTGTCCGCCTTGAGTGGCCCTACCAGGAACGAAGTTCCGGGCGGCATAGCTCTGACACTACCGTTTACACCCCCCACCGACTGTGAGGTAAGGGTTGGACTTTGGGGGCTTACAGTACCAGGTGTTCCCAAGCGGTCCCCCATCTAAGTACTGACCTGGCTCTACGATGCTTAACTTCGGTGATCGAACGAGAACCGGTGTTTCAGCGTGATTTAACCGTAACTGTTCTATCGTAGGTCAATGAATAAATCCATTACAATATCATACTATAATTCTTTCTGTTTACTAGTTAGTTAGTGCATACGTTACACCCTGACAATAGCTCATAGTGGACTTCTGTTTGGATCGCCAGGAAAGACGACGAAGATATATCGGAGACACTATTTGGTCCCAGAGAGAAAAATATAGATAGATAGATAGATAGATAGATAGATAGATAACCTCTATGAATTATTTCAAATCCGAAATTTAAATATTTTAATATAGTTTTATGGCTACAGATAAAATGTATTATTGGTCATTTTGCTATGTAATTTATTGTTGGAAATTCTGCTTTAAAACTGAATTGTTGGTAATTTTACTATAAATATCTATTGTTGGTATTTTTTTAATATAAAATTTATTGCTGGTATTTTTACTATAAATCAATCAAAGAAAAAGTATGTAATATCAATCCTCATAAATGGGGAAAAAAACTCCGAAATGATTCGTTTCGTTCGTAGAAGGAAACTTTTTCAGACTAATAATGCTTTCTTTTACAAATATTCAGCCATAATAAGACTGATGAGTCACTCAAGATAGAGGATTACTGTGTGAAATGTTGAAAAGGGCTTTAAAAAGGCATTCATACTGAAAAAGAACTTTAAATTTCTTCTATGCTGAAAAGGGATTTAAAAAAGGCTCCAAGTTTCAGGCTGTAGTCATTAATAATAACATAGTGTCCCCGGCATGTATTTTGAGTTTGTTTTTTTGTTTTTTGTTAAATGAAATAACGTTAGACGATAACTCAGATAAGAAAGCGAATCGGTGAGTGAAAGTTTGAAATAAGTAAAATCATGAATAAATAGCTAGTGATTTTCTCAATCGGAATTCTGTATGTTCTATACGATTAGAGCCCCCCCCCCCACCGCCACCAATGGAATTTTATTTGAGTAATAAAAGTTTTTGATAGCTGTCTGTTATAAATGACGTGCCTTGTGTTTTTGACCGTTTCCCCCGTCATCTCTTGTGAGGCGATTCCCACAGACAGCGAGCCGAAACGAGCAAATCAATAATTTAGTAATTTAGTCATTACACCAACGTCTGTTAACAGTCAGACTCATCTTAATGAAAGCTTTCATTTCTTTCTCAACAGACCGTTACACTGAGCATGCTGTTTTTTTTTTTTTTTCTTAGTTTTTTTCTTTTATAATGTTACATCAGTGGCCGTTGATTATTTCAAATTCACTTTCATAGTCTGATAAAGCGCTTCCCTTACTTAACTGTAACGTGTAATATTAGAGATCTGTCATTGTAAGCATGACTAGACTACTAATTTATTTATTGACTGTACAGTTTTAATAAAAATTTGCTTTAGGTAGGCCCGGGTATATTTTTTCTGTAGCAACTTTCGAAGGTACTAACCGGCTTCAATATGTACTTGTAAAGTAACCCAAGTGACTCAAAATTATAGAATTGTAAAGAAAAACAGACGAACGTTTAAGCTTGTCATGAGGCAACTGTAGTCGGGATCATCGGGTCAATGCGACGCACGCTGTTTAAGCCTATAGTGAAGCTTTATTTAATGCAATTTGACTACTGCTCATCAGTGAGCTTAGGCCGTTTGTTTTATAGTCGAGTAGTTCGAGGGGGAGGCAACTCTGTTTGCCTTACACCACAGAAACAAACTATAAACTTGCGCACACTGACTTTATTTTACTTACTGAAATTTATTTTACAAAATTAAATAGTCATACAACTATTTAGAAATATATATATAATGATGAAAGCGGAGACTTTAGAAATCCATGGTAATAATTTATATCACGAAATCAATCAGATTTTGTCTCTTCAGACCAAACAATTTTACAAGAGATGAATTTTAAATTTATCCAGGCATAAAAAGGAACCAATTCATAAATTGCTTATTGGATTCATTTATATATTAACGCCATCAATAATAGGTAAAAATATACTTGGGAATATCTATATATGAGTATGCATATGTATTTATGTTGTTTCTGTTTTGTATATTTGTATATGTGTAAACGAATATATATACGATGTTGTGCACTCCTGTGTGTGTAAGGGTGTATATATATATATATATATATATATATATTACGTATGTTTTTATATGTATGTACTTGTAAGTATGTGTGTATATATATGTATATGTGTGTATGTATATATATGTATATGTGTATGTGTATGTATAAGTATGTAGATATTTATGTTTTGTTGTGTGATTGTTTCTTATATATTGTGGGTCTATATATGTTTATAGATGGGGATGTACATGTATACTTTTAGATTTAGATTTTCATATCGATATATTCTATTTTATTTTTATTTATATTTTTACGTATACATATATATGTATGCATGTGTGTATGTGTTTGTATGTGTATATGTATGTATACGTATGCATGTATGTGTATATATATATATATGCATATATGTGCATGTATATATATATATATATATGTGTGTGTGTGTATATGTGTGCATGTACATATATGTGTATATATGTTTATGTGTATGTATGTTTGTATATGCATATGTATCTTCATAATTTTATATTTTTATTCAATTAAAATGCTCCTTTACTTATCACTTTATTTAATAAAAATCGTTTTATATATATTTTTGAAGAGTTTTTTTTTTGGGGGGGGGCTAAAATTTTTAAAAGGTTTTCTTTTAAAAAATTGTGTTTAATTTAGATATTTATTACTATTATTGTTTTCTTAATCACCAAAGCTTTTCTGAAATTAGAAAGGGTATTATTTATGACGTTAATTTACTACATGAATTGAATAGACAATTTAAGAATTGGTTCCTTTTTGTATATTTTTACTCTTTTGCTTGTCATGTCCGAAACATTAACCTTATTTTTAATTCCCTCTTCTTCTACTCCTTTTCCTTTTCCTTTTTCTTTTTTCTTGTTTTCCAATGTTCCTTTTGAAATATATTCACTCTCTTTTACTTAACACATCCGGTGAAACGAGGTCAACCCATCGGCAATGTCTCAATAACTTCCTTTCCCTATCTTACTTTCCCTCCCCTATATCACTCTATATATATAAAGTGTGTTCCAATAACTTGGATTGATTTTAATGCGAATTAAGTTTAAGCGTGTAATGGTTTTTTCTTTTTCTTTCAGATTTGGCGGACGTTTGGGTGATATCATTTTTCACACGTAATTGCTATGACTTAAATAACATGATCCAATAGAGAAATAAATGAATTTTCACCAATAACACTGATTTATTTACAACTGACTTTGATCCGTCTTAATGAAACACCCTCTAGATATCTCTAACTTTTTCTCTCTCTCTCTTTCCCTTACCCCACATTAAAACCTTATTTTAAAATCGAGATCTTCCCCTCTTATGTTTGAAGAAACTTTTTTTTGCCTGGATAAATTTAAATTCATCTATTATTGTAAAATTGTTTTGTCTGAAGAGAAGAAATCTGATTGATTTTGCGAAATAAATTATTGCCAAGGATTTTTAAAGTCTCCGATTTCATCATTATTATATTTGCACTGTTCTTACATTGATCTCTCTTTGGATTTATATCCTCTTTCGAATTATCCCTACTAATTATCAAATAATATATATATATATATATATATATATATATATATATATATATATATATGAAGAAATATAGTTTAGAGATGCGCTATATTTACGGGATAAAGTGCTCAATATCAGAGATAGAGCGTATGTAAATATAAATATAAAAATGAACATTGAAGTCAATACTCAGAGGCGACAGGCTGTTTCATGCTAGACGCAATCGTCAGGCAGCTAGTGTTGAATTTTTCCTCTACTATTTATATATATGGGTCAGTGGTGCATTGTGGGTAATCCATTCAGGCAGTTATTTTGGCGGGAGTGGCTTGTTCATTTATTTATTTATTTGGGTTAATTCATTTTTACTTGTTTTTTATTTTCATTTTTTATTTTATATATTTATCTATTCTTTTCGGTTTTCTATTTAACGTAAAAATTTCCTGAGGGATTAGCTTAGGCCGCTTATTTTGCGTATTTATGTTTATGTTTATTAGTTCTACTGGTTAATTTAGCGGGAGCGATTTGTAATTTGTTCATTTATTTTGGATTAATTTTTACTAGTTTTTTTTTCTTATTTATTTGGTTATTTTTTATTTATTTTTGAATTGATTGTTGAAGTCTAGTCTAACGGTTATTTTGGTGGGATTGTTTTGTTGATTTGTTTATTGTTTACTTTATTTGGATTGATTATTTTTACTTGTATTTTATGTACTTATTTTCTATTTTTATTAGCTCTATTTCGTCTATTCTAACGGGATTGGCTTGTTAATTTGTTTATTATTTGCTTGGGTTAATTTATTTTACTTGTTTTTTATATTGTTTTGTTTCTTCTTTTCAGTTAACGATTTTTAAGTAACGTAGTAAAAATTTGTTTTCGTGTCTGCATTTTGAAATGAGCTCAGATCGTTTATTTAGTAATTTATTTTCGTCTGGGAAGGTAATAATAGCTATTTTTCCTCCAAGCAAAGTTTGCAGTCTTTGGATTGATTGTTGTAGACTAATGATATTTTTCTTATTTTCCACGATATTTTTGGTGTGATTTGCGTTTTGTTTTTAATTTTTCAGATATACTTAGAAAGCATTGTGCTGTTCGCGTATTTACTATTTGTGAAAGATGTTTTGTGTGCATAGTTTCTTTGTTTCCAGTGTTCTTCAGTTACTCCTATGTATACTTTTACAATGCTTTCTAAGTATTCGTACAATTCAATTTTCATATTTTAAAACTTCTTTAAATTGCATTAATACATTAGATTATTCAAGGGGAATATTCTAGAATGTTCCAATAATATTATCAGTAGTTATTTTAGCCTAAAAATACAAACAAAACATTCTGCAATTGATATTTGTGCAAGAATGTTTTCATCATGTCAAGAGGTAAAGAACTGACAAATTCACAAAAAGAACTGATTGTTAAGCTCTGAAAAGAAGGTAAAAGTTACAGGAAAGCCTCAAACAACCTGAATATTCCATTTACTACTATTAATTCATTCATTGCAAGGTATAAAAAAACTCAAAACTGTTAAAACCGAAGATGAACAGCGGCTCAACTGAAGATTTCTGTAAGATTTTCGAGGAAATTAATGCGTCAAATTAAATAAAATCAAGTGATTACTCATCAAGAGTTGCAAGATAATTTGATTTCGTCAGGAACCTGTGCCACTAAA